AAGAAATTTCGCATTTCTAGGTTCTTAAAGATCTCTAACCCCATCCTTTGCATGTGATCTACATTTCCACTCGAACCAAGATAACCATGTGCCATCCAGAGCCTGATAAGCTTATCCAAACGTATCGAGGTATCTTTTGGATAGACGACACAACTAGAGAAGGAGCGCTTATGTACTGGAGACAAATCATTGTAGCTCAAATACAAATGGGGGAAAAGCTCAACCGCCGCTTCCTCCAACTGCCACAAAGGACTCTCTAGAACATTTAGCCACTCTCCTACAGTATCTTTGAAGCATAGCATGCTTCCCATAGTTTTTGCAGCAAGTGGCAACCCCTTGCAGTTCAGCGCAATCTTTTTACCAATATCTTCTAGTTTCTCTCGCTCCACCTTACTTTTTCCAACAAAAGCTACCTTACTCAATAATGACCAGCAGTCATCATCGGATAGTTGGCCCAATGGTTGCCGTGTGTCCGTGCCTATCACTCTTACAACCCGATCGCTCCTTGTTGTCACCAAAATTCTACTTCCGGGGCCACCCTGGAGAGAGTTTTTCAGTGGTTCCCACCTCTTTCGGTCCTCAGTCCACACATCATCTAGGACAATAAGAAATCTTTTCCTTGAAACTGAGTTTTTCACACGTTGTAAGAACATTTGCAAATTCGAGATGTCGGAGAAAGGCTCCTTAACGGCCTCAAGAACTGATTTTGCAATCTTAATCTCGTCAAAAGGATCCGAAACACAAATCCATATTTTTAATTCAAAATGTTTTTCAACTTCAGGATCATTATAGGCAAGTTGAGCAAGAGTTGTTTTCCCAACCCCTCCTGTCCCTACTATCGAAACAATCTCGACTCCACTGCCCCCCTCAGACAACAAATTTTGTATGAGGTTTTCCTTATCCATACTTCGACCTTGTACACTTGCAGAATCAACAAAAGAAGTCGATTCAATTCGATTAGATTCCTGCAAATCATGGCCACCACTAGGAAGAAAACCAAACTCATCTTTCTTTTGATCAATCGAATCTAGTTTCTCGATCAACCCCTTTATCTTCAGATTAATTTCACGACGCCCAACAACACGTTTGAAGCATAAACAAATAGATTGAATAAACGAAATTATCTTCTCCCATGGATCATAAATTTCCTCAGATCCTTCAATTTGCAGTTGAAGATTCGCGGTTTCCCATTCATCCAAAGCGTCATCCATTTCGTAGGATACATCTTGGAGATCTTTTAGCCAATTTTTGACCTTCGAATCAGTCACTCCAGTTCTCTCTGCAACCTGCAGCACCTCCTGGATCTTCTTCAACTTCCCACTGAGATTTTCCACTTCCTTTTTGGATTCGAGGACCAGATTTACCTCCCTCTCGATCAGAGGAGCCAATCGCTCCAGCAGTGCGAAAACAGACATCGCCGAATTAGATTGAACAAGAGTAAATCAAAAACACTGTCGACACTCGATTTGCTGGATTACACTATGCCGTTTCTGCTAAAAATATTTGATACACTTCAGAATTCATGGCCATTTCTGAAAATACATTTTAGTTTTTTAAGATTTTAAGTTAAGTGCTATCCATTATTTTAAAATATATTTTTTTTTCTTATTTTTAATCAAACATTTTTCAATAAAATAATATTACACATAAATTCAAAAAAATTTCTTATTTTTAACCGTACATTTCTCATCAAAATACCATTGCAAAATGCATTATTAGCTAAAAAAAAAAAAGGCTTAAACAAGCTCTAAACCGTTTCTTATTTTAAAATTAATTCATCTTTGTGGTTAAAATAATTAACTAACAGTAACAAGGCGACCTCAACTAAGATAAAGGTATATATAAAACCTGAATTGGAATTAAAGCCTATAAATGATGGTAAAAAAAAGAATTTAATTCACTACTTCAAATGTTGAGCTTAGATTCTATTAGCCTTTGTTTGGCAATTTACTTTTTTCAAACTTATTTTTAATTACACATTCTTTCAATATATAATTTTTACACGTGAATCCATAATTTTTCATACTTTAATCACACATTTTAAAAAAAAAATCAATTTTAACTACAAATAATATCTTCCACACAAATACTTAGTACATTACATTATATTATGTTTCACTATCTTTATTTTTCATATTCATTTTCAACAACACATTTTTCATAATAAAGTATTTTGCACGTAAATTTAATATTTTTTCTACTTTCAAATGTACATTTTTCAAAAAATTACTATTCAAAACATCATTTTTCCGCAATTTCTCTTTATAATGATCATCAAACATGAGCTTAATGATTTATAGCCCATATGTAAAATAGTAACACTAATTGTAGATATCAATAATCTATTTTGTTAAATTTAACATTTATTGTCAAATTATGCTAGAAGTCAACGTGTTACTTAGCATTTCATTAAAAAAAAAATAACTTTTATAGGCTTAACCAAACATGCTCCATAGTCTAGTAATTTATATAATTGTCTCTATTTAGTTAAGTATATTCAAGAAGGCACAAATTTATTGAATTTTATTTAGAAAGAGACTATTAATTTATTGCCGTAAATACCCCACTCTATATTTTTAGGTAAGTATGTACATGAATCTCTCCAATTTTTCTTTTTCCATCGTTGATGTCATATTTGGTAAATCTAAAAGAATGTTTAAGAAATGTTTATAAAATGTTTAAATTATACATCGATGAATTAAAATTTATCGATATACTTTATGTGAAAGAAAAAGATACAAAGACGTACAATGTCCCAAGAGTCGACAGCAATGATCTTACCCGAAAATTCTTCAATTTAACTGCTTTGTATGATCGGAGAAATATCGCACCAAGAATCTTTCATACAAGTTGGGTTGGTGGGCACGCAGAGTCAATATATGATTCCTTATGCAATGAAAGGCAATCAAACGTTGTGATTTTCCTTTTCCAAAAAAGAAGGAATATGAAGTCTAGATAGAGAAACCTGAAATATCAATATGAATACTAGTTCAAACTAACATTGTTATGTCATGTTCTTGAATCTCATCTTGTCTTCTCTTCTAGTATATTTTTAATAAATATTCGACTATTCATCAGATATTCTTCAATTTTAATAATTAAATAACAAGATGTCGTACTTGGCATGAGCTGTGCATTCTCATCTAGCGGGAAGGATTATCTTTTAATTGAATATTTCTAGTCATTTTCATATAATTGATTTAATATTAGTCAATAATTGAGATTCATTAGACATGGGTTAGGGTGAAACCATTATCTTTTAATTGAATATTCTTGGTCATTTTCATATAATTGATTTAATATTAGTCAATAATTGAGATTCATTATTCATGCGTTAGGATGAAAACACTATCTTTTAATTGCATATTCCTAGTCATTTTCATAAAATACTATTCATTACTTCATTTCTTCTACAATAATGGGAAACAAACACACACTTAATATCAGTCAATAATTGAGATTCATATAATCTTTAATCAATTGAAATCTTGTGACCAAAGTATTCTTATAGAAATTAACTAGAAATCTTTTAAGTGATATAATGTGTAAAATAAAATACTCAAAAGGATCGAAATTCATTAATGAGAATTCAATTCATTACTTCGAATGTCAAGCTTACTTCGTATTTGAAGATACGTCGATACTCAAGAAAAAAAAAATATTTATTGTAGTCTTCGTAAGAGCATCCCCAACCAGGATATAAAATATATCTAAATTGTGATTTGTATCTTCAAAGTGGATGAAAACCCCTCCAATGAAGAGATGCAAATAAAATGCATATTGCATTTTTCAGCATAAATTGTAAAAAAAGATGTAAGTTTACATTTTATTTTATTTTTGGATTTAAATCTTTCTTTTAGAGCAAAATTTTAATTTAGATCCATCGAGGTGTAAATAAAGATGTAAAAGTAGTTTTAGATATATCAATTCACACTACGATTGGAAATGCTCCAAATGTCGAAAATCAATTCATAAATGGTTCACTTTTTTCCACTCACATGGCTACAACTACAAATAGGAGAATACATCTGGGAATTGAAAAATCCGTTCTGGATAAGAGTCCAACACTATGGACAGACGACAAATCCACAGTTTCAACACATTTTCACGGTGGAAATCAGATTCCAAAGGTTGAAGGATATGATATGGAGGGATCACTCTCTGATCTGTTTCTCTCAATGTTCAACCATAGAATTTTCGTACTTAAGTGTTTTGGTATTTATAAGTAGGTTAGAAAAACGAATCGGCCAGAAAAAAACCTTTAACAAAACTTTCCCGAATAAAGCTGTCGCTTGAGTGAAAGCTCGACGACAGTCGAGGGACGGAGTGTCGCTCGAGCGGAGGCAGGGCGACAGTCGAGCGATGGAGTTTCTGCTTTTGTAGCTCGAGCCAAACCTTGGCGATAGTCTAGCGAAAATCTGCGCCGTTTTCCACTTTTTGCCATTCTCGAACCCTAGACCTAAAAACCCTATTCTCAACGTATTTGCACATTACTCTTTGAACTTTTACAATATG